AGATCTTATATATTCCCTCGATAGAATTCATATGCGGACCAACTAAGATGGGATTATTGCATGCATGTGATTTCAAGCAATATCTTATATTAATCAACATTCATAATTAGTCTTAAACAAATGTGATTACTAATTATGAAAAGTGGAATCATGTCTAATCAGTAGGACTGGATCGGATAAAATATATATTAGCTGCAGCGTCAGCAATCATACAAAAAATAAATAAATAACTCGAATAAATTAATAAGGGCTCATTATATGACCCAAATTAAGTGCATGATAAACATTAGAATCTTAAGTAGATGAAAATTAACTACGGATAACGCATTTATAATGATGCTAGGAGGTTTAATAAAGAATGTTATTTTCCACATTTTTATTTTGAAAGATCCTTTTTTTTTTTTCGAATTTTGAAAGATACTATTAATATCAGTGTTGGGCAGAATTAAAGGTTAGACAACCATCATAATTTTTCAAACATCTATAACTTTCAATATAAATAAAGATATGACATTTTATAATATAAATATTTCTATTAATTAAAAAAATCAAAACGAGTCAACTCGTTTAACGGTTAAGTCGTTCACTCAAGTAAATTATATAAGGTCATAAATCAAAATTGGTTAACAAGAGTTTATCAATAATAAAAGATATTGTCAGAGGAAAAAGTTGTACTAATTTTGAAAAATTAAGTAGATGTTTTATTTGTTAGTGGAAAAATATTAAATTTATAATATTTGTATCCTAATTTTATACCGCCTGGCTATTTTGTTTCAGAGATTGAATATTTATATACCTACTTTATTGTCCTAAAAATCATACTGAGTGTGTAAATATAATTATATTTTATCCACAGATGAAGACATTGGGAAGTTGACTAATCTGACAACAATTGCTAGATGCCCGCCCACGCACAATTACAATTTTGGCTCTTAGTGTTGTGTTTTTTTGTAGTATATATGTAAATTTTATAATTATTAGTTATGTATAGAAACTGGTGAATTTCTGACTGGAAGCTGGAAGCATCACAGACTCATAGTAAGGGGAACAACTATATAAAATTTGATATAAAACAACTAGAAGTAAGATACGCAACTAGGAAGCTTTAANATAGTAAACCCTTCATAGCACAAGTCTTAATTATTTTTTGTTAATTTGAAATTCTGATTTTAGTTATATAGTCGAGTGTAGTTATATAAGCATTAACGCACTAAATAGTTATACGATGAACAACCCATTGGCAAATAGTTTAATTAGTACCAACTAATTAATAGTAAAAATACTATTTTTTTTCTTGATTTTTAATTAATTAATTGAGTGAAACATTTGTCACACTTGAGAAAACACTGGTCTTCGCAATCCACTCTGTTAGTTTTAGGGATCCAACGGGCACATGGACGAAGATAAATATGCCCTTCTTTGAAATTGTCCTGAGTCATTTTTTTTTTCCTTTAAATTAATTGTATAATTTGTAATAATCTATTATTACCCGAGTTTGACCCCTATCCTATTGGTAAAATATATATTCAGCCCCTATACTATAGGTCGTACCTTTTTGGTCCTTTTGACCATAATGCCATACGTACCCCTCCTTGTGCCGAAAAAATAAATAAATAAATAAATTGTCACAATATTATTTTGTGACAGAAAATAATCTCAACTCATGTAAACATAATTGCTATCTCCACAAATATATAAAGTAATGATAAATTGTATATTCGACAGAAAAATTTCTCTTTTATTACAAAACAGTAAAAAATCGGTTCATTCGATTCTTCCACTGGTGTGAGTAGCCCGAATCGGGTTTTTCACAGCTTGATCATACATACATACTTAAAAACCCATGTGACTGTATTTTGGTTCGACGATCAAAATTTATATATGGATTCCATACTACTCATACATGTGTAGCTGTTAAATGAAACGAGTCGCTAGTAAAGCTTCGAGCTCGGTTTGTTAACGAGCTTATATAGGGTCGAGCTCGAGTATTAAAAGCTAATTGAGTGCAGTTCGGCTCGTTTAAAACTCTACACAGAGGTATATATGATGTAATATTCCATAAAAAGATTCCATTTGCCTTCTATTAAAAGGGCTTCAAAACTTATAGTACCAACTTAATTATGTACGTGACCATATTACACAAACTTTCATATGTTGGTGCATATTCTTGGTAGTTGATAGACAAATTAAACACATCATGCATCTATACAAAAACTAGACACAAATATTGTGGAAATTCAAAGGGCTTTTGCTTTATTTTTTTCGGTTTTTGTGGTTGGGGGTGGGNTCTTCTTTATATTCCTAAAAAATGATTTTTCATTCCTAATTCTAACAACTTTGCCTGCAAGCATTATTCTCTCCATCCACTCTCCTCTCATCAAGCCCTCCAAAAAACAACAAATTAGACCTACATCAAAATCATCATTCCACATAGAAAAAAAAAATAAAATCAACAATTAAAAAAGAAGAAGAAGAAGAAGAAGAAGAAGAACCAATCAAACCCTTGACTAGTTCAAGTCCATACATACAATTCCTTGATCATCATCACTCAATTCATACATAATATGCAAACACCTAATTGCTCAAGCTCATCACCAAGTGATGATGCCATGGAGAATTCCAGAACTACCCTTCAGAACCAGCCACGTGAAACCAATGGAAACAGCTCGAGCAACAGCACTGTAGATGAGAGCATCAAGGGCAAAAAGGTCAATTCGGGCCCCGTGAGGCAATACATCCGGTCAAAGACTCCTCGGCTCCGGTGGACACCGGAGCTCCACCTCTGCTTTGTTCATGCTGTTGAGAGATTGGGAGGAGAAGAAAGTAAGTGAACTTGTTTTAATTAATTTGGAGAAGTAAGAAAATGATGATTAAATTAATTAAAGGGTCTTTTTAAAAAAAATAAAAATATACCGGCAATTAATTTGATTTTTGAATTTCATTTGTGTTTGTATGTTGATTTTTGAATTATTTTGTGCAGGGGCAACTCCTAAATTGGTGCTTCAGTTAATGAATGTTAAAGGTCTTAGTATTGCTCATGTCAAGAGCCATCTTCAGGTACATATATCATGAACTTGTGATTGAAATAGTAAATTAAATTATATATATGGAATATTTGCGCATTAATTATCTCACCAATTTTCTTATAGTTTAAGTTAATTAGGGCTTTTAAGCTTAATATTCTACTTAATTATGCTAAATGTATTCTATTTTTCAATTTGCTTTTTTGGTGTCATTTAACCAGATGTACAGAAGCAAGAAGATTGATGATCCCAATCAAGGTATTCTTTTCATGTAAAATTATGTGAAAGCAAACTATATAGGGTTTAGTTAATTTTATTGAACTTAAATTCAAATTCAACTTCAATTTTGAGGGTCATTTTTTTTTTTCTTTTTCTAAATTAAATTTTGATTCGTCGATAGTTATTTCGGAACAAAGACTTCTGTTCGATGCGGGTGATCGCCATATATACAAACTCAGCCAACTCCCAATCCTACAAAGTACCAATCAAACACCAAATTCCAGCTTACGGTATATATGTTGTTGTGCACCATAAATTTCTATCTTCTTTTTGCAACTGCAAATTAAAAAGTTGTACTTTTGTAAACCCTAACTAATTAAGTTCTTTTCCATATTTTTTTTGGCCAAATTTTGTAGCTATAGAGATTCCTTTTGGGCTAACCAAGCCAATCCTATGTTCAAGCCACACAACATCTTTTCATCAACAACATCGAAAATGGCTAAAAATCGACTATCCGAGTCCTCGACATCTATCGGGACCAATTGCAATAATACTTACTTATCACCAAGGGTTTTCGATTTTTACGCCAACCGACAAAATTCTTGGAGACTTCTAGAAAACGATCGAAAAATTTTCGCAGATCAAAAGTATGACTGGTCGACCCAACTAGCAGCAAACTCCACACAACATAATTCGCCACACGGCCCTTATCAACCGTGCGAAAAAACACGAATGGCCGCTCGAGAAGTGATTAATAATAGCAACGATTCTAGTTTGAAACGAAAGGTATTATTATCCGACGATGCGAATAATGGTCTCGATCTCAGTCTCTCCTTAGAAACGACACGAGCGAACAAGAAGAACATGAAAACGGGCTCGATCGAGGATTGTTCTGACGAGGAACATGTTGATGATAACAATAGCTTGTTATCACTATCCTTGTTTTCTTCCTCGAGTACTAAAGAAGTTGATGGTATTATTGGGAAAAATGGAGAGATGGAAATACATGCAACTAATTTGGATTTGAGTTTGTGAATTGGGAAAAATTTCTGAGTGAGATTTTCTCCTTTTGTTTTTTATGTAGTGTTTTGTCAATGTCAACGTCAATATAATGCCAATGCCGGAGATGATTATTATCACGGTAGTCATCAAAGTTTGTGTTTTGTTTGTTTGCTATTCTTGATTTGTATGCAGAGATGTGTACAGAATAATTATTGTTGTTATTGACATAAAAACAAGGTTATCGTCATACTTTTTTTAAGTATCACTTGGAAGGAAAAAGGAATCCTTTGCATCGAGTAATGTGGGAGTATTACACTAAAGTATTATAAGGGGTGCAGAATTTTGTCTCCACAATTTTCGAAATTTAGCTTCACTTATGCATATGATCCTTTTCTTCCATCGTAATGCTAATTAATGTATGCACATTAGAAAGAAATAATGTATCAAATGAAAATCCAAAATTAAAACATTCTAATACAATTTCCTATATATGGATATTCAATGTTATAACTTTCGAGTGTGGAATATTTCAATGGATATCAACGCTGAAAAAAAAAAATCATTGGAGTTAAATATTGTCCCATAAAATTCTAGTTGGAGTCTAATTTGATGATTCCAGCATCAATTTTTACGACTTATCATTGTAGAAAATTCTATTAAAAGATGCAATAATTGTTGAAATTTGTGTTACTCAACGATAAATAATTTTTAATAGTTTGAAAAATTACCTTGAATAATTTAAAATAAAACATAAAATTCTAATGAATAAATAATATTAACAGATTTTCTTTTTTTTTCGTCTTTTTTTTTTTGGAATTTATCCAATAAAATTTGTAATATTGAAATATTCATTAGCGTTATGTTGAAATATATCAACATGAAGTTTAATTATTTTCTTGTAGTGATGTACATATAATTAGAAAACAATTATTATTTAATTTTGGCACCAAATAAAAATTAAAGTCCCCCTTCTAGACTAACAAGAATTATAAATGTCTTGTTTCAACTTTTATCCAGTCTTTATGTTTTAATTAGTATTTTTATTTTTATATAATGAAATTGCTCAAATATTTGTTTAAATATTTGAGAAAATTACAACGTTCATGAACTTCAAATTCATTTTTAACATATTTAAGAAGTTTATTATTTAATTGAATATTTTAACTTTTAACATTATTTTCAATGTTTGATTTGTGATTTATTTTTTTATTTATTTTAAAATTTCATTATTTACATATTTATGACTCATTTATAAATATTTTTATATATGGCGTTATTTAGAATATTGTATTTAAAAAATATAATAAACATGTAAAATTATCTAAATATTTTCATAGTGGAAAACCCCATATGTGGGCCGTTGTATATGAGGCCCATAATTCGGAACCCAAACTCGTATGCCCCCCAGAAAGCCTCCTATAACAATATAACATGCTGCGTATACTATATCGTACATGGCAGTTGGCACTTTCTAATTGTGACCAATAAAGCTCCAGCAGATCTACTAAATTTACAAGGCCAGCTCAATTAATTACCCACATGTCATTTTTTTCTTCTTATTTTAATATATTTATCAAATCCAAATATAAGCAATGTTAGAAAATTATTTGTGAGTTGTCTCACATCATTTATATAGGAAAAATAGACCCAACTTAAAACGGCGAGTAGGCTACTCCTTCTATCATCAATTAGTTTTGGGATGTATTAATTTTGCAATTTTGAGTGATGATGACCAAATAATTAGATATAAACTCTTAAAATTATTATTATAACATTTGTGTGCGGAATTTTTACTTGTTTTGCTATGCCATAAAAAATAATTAATTAATTTAATAAAAAATAATAAAATTATTTGAAATAAATACTTTGAAAAAAAGTGCTATCAAATATTTTGTGTATATATAGTTTCCATTTATGGTGTACGTGAATTGATTAGTTAGTGGTGGTTATTATGTAATAAAATGAATAAAATCATCATGATTAATTGATTAATGCAAGAATATAATGTTTCTTTCTATAACTAGCTTCAAAAAATGAACGGGAAAATTATATTTGCATTAAATTTTTAACCTTATATATATAATTAACAGCCAGTCAATGTGATGAGTCAAATAATATAACATGTAAAGGATTAATAATGTGCCACTTCCAACGACACGAGGAATTGGGAATAAATTAACTAAAAAATTATAGAAATATTATTGATCAACTACGTTTCAATTGAAACTTTGAATAATTTTATAATTGGGGACATCTTTCCAAATTTTCTCGCAATAATTCATCCTTTTGACAACTTTTCTCAATTGTTTTGTAATATTAGGACTTTTCATAATCCTAGCTATGATGTTTCCGCGTATTAACGCAATAATTTATCCTTTTTGACAACTTTTCTCAAGTGTTTTATAATCAATATTGAAAACGGTGATTTTACAATAAAATCATTCAACTAAAATAAACGGCTAGCTGTAATATAAGGGGAAAGAAAAAGCATTGTTACATGGTCTAACCAAATTAATCAATCACCATAGCTTTTAAAAAAGAAAAAAAAAATACTCTAGCTCAAAAGCGCGGGAAGAACATTTTTATGGAAGTTTCTAGAAAGTACGGTGTAAGCAGCTTGGGTCGGGTGAGCCGCGTCCCAGAATATATACTTCGACGGGTCCCGACACGTGTGCTCAAGCGTGTTGCATAGTGGGCCCATTTCGATTGACCCAACCCCACAGCATGCATCAAGCGTCCTCTCGAACCCTACACAATATTAAACGAAAACAATATTTTATTAATTATTGATTCCCTCAATATGAATTTTCGTTTATTCAAAATTTAATATCAATCTTTTCGAAAAATAAAATAAAATAAAATAACAAGAAGTTCCTCACCATATCCAGCGGGCCTATTGATCATGTCCATGATGGGACTGTAAATGTCCACGTATGCAATCCTGGAGTCCGGCAGGATTCGGCCCAAACGGGATAACATCGCCTGGAGCTTGGTGTTGTAGGCCTGCGAGTCCAAATTCTGTTGATCAACGCACACGCGCCTCAACATGTGTGGGCTGGGCAAGAAGCTGCCGACCGTCACCTGCATTGGCAGGCAACCCACCGGCGGCAGCCCCAACACCGCTAGACGTCTCGCCCCCATGCCGTGCAATCTCTGCACGTACAAACAGTTAATAAATTCAATACATGATAAATTACAAAAAGGAAAAAATGAAAAGATTGGAGAATTTAAAAAATTAAATAAAAAATTAAAATGTAATACAAGGCCAAGTTTAGTAAACGCAGTTGAAAAATTAGCTGATAGCTAATAAGTTAATTTCGAGCTAATAGTTGATGGCTGATGGTTGAAAGAAGCTAGCTGATATAATAAAATCAATTAATAAAATTAACTGATAATTGAAATAAAATTCCAACAAA